CTTTCGGTCAACAGGAACAGTGCCGCAGCGCTGCACAATCTCGGCGGTGTGGCGGAAGTGGTTTCGCAATACAACGAGGACGAGTTCAGCTGCTTGCGGATAATGACATCCGTACTAGATTCGAAAAAACAAGATAAATGGTGCATGAACTCCACGGATTAGCGCCAGTAGTTTACATGGATGGTATCCTTCTGGTCAAAGGTGAAAATAAGTTGTTTGGGAGACACTAAAGAAGAAACACTCTGTACAAATTTTCGCTATAAACACATATTGCAAATGAGCTAGAAATAGCTTCAGTTTTAAACTAACGGTGTTCTTTGCTTTATGGAGAGAACGTGCGTCTGTCACAGTGGTTGGAGATGCTGTGCGACAGACACGTGGTATCACTAGATGATCAGTGGATCGATTCCGCGCTCAAGGCTCACCAAACCTTCCATCTTTACAGGGTCGGTGAGTTGGTACCATATTTGTCTGGGAGGTTAGCAGCACTAATTTCATACATCGGTGGGCCACCGAGAATCATTATAAAGCAGATATTTACTCAATCACCTCAAACGATTCTCGTTGAAGACGAATGCATGGGGTATCACTTAAGGATAAATAAACTCCAAAAGCTTTATCAATTATCCGCCATCGTTTTGCTAATATAACTGAAGAGGCACGAATTAGTTCAAAAATTGGCATATATCTGATGTCAAAATAGTTACGGGGAAGACAGCACACGGTCTAGCACCACTAATACTGCACCACAATTAGCCCGTTTATTGACGTATTCTTTGGTTGTTAATCCATGGTTTTCGTTCATAAACAACAGGGAATGTTAAGTTAATAAGCTTTATGAACAAGGCGAGAAGAGTACGAAGCCATAAAGAGATTTTCAAAACGCTGTTTGGCCACCATTTATGTGTTGAAAAGCAATGTTTATGGGCTAGGAACGGGCTCTATTAATGAGCTTGTAGACTGAAAAATTTTTCACAACAAGAAGGATCAAAGCCAAAAAGATGAAGCTCTCGGCGTTAATCTATCTCTGAGGAATGCGTCATGCAATCGTCTTGAATTTTCATCTTCGTTTGAGGTGGTTTAAACGCATATTTGGCCTTTACAATGACTCGCGGTGGCCTACCAATGTATTAAGTCAGTGCTACTTATTCTCCCAACAATTCTGGCAGCGACCACCCTTTAGGGATGGAAGGCTTGTTGAATTATGTGTGCGAGATCGAACCATCAACTCTCTGTGCGACGCGAAGCACATTCAAATACTTCTGCACGCGCAGTCTTAACAAGAAGGAACAGTCTCCAAATAAGAAATTAATAAGAGCAATTTAACTGTGTATATTGTGATTGAAACCAATTAAAATGAACCAGAAGAGTGCAATTTGCCAATGCAATTGAAAGTAACAAAGTCCGACTTTTTTTTTGAAGTGAAAAATTTGAGGATTTTTGAGGTGGACAGAAAGCTGTAGTATATCTGTCTTCAAATCGAATTCAATCTAACAATCTCCAGAGACATCGCAAGAAACATTCTATGTACATATGGTTAATTAGAAAAGGAAGCTTAGCACTTCGAAATAAAATTTTTCGTTTTGGTGTACTCAGAAAAGTTCTAATGAGGATAATCATATATAATAATGACTATGTTAACGAGTTCTTAGATTCTGTCGGCGCAGTGATTCTGTTATAAAGTTTGTGATAGATGGTAAGGTTTTTCATGATGCTGCTATGTTTTAAAACTACTTATTATCTAACGCTCCTCGGGGATCTAACCCTTACATAGAGAAGTCGACGACGAACGTTTTACCTCTTGGCTGCTAATCGTGAAATATCATACCTTTCGTTTCGAGTGTTTTTTCTGATGAAAGGCTCGAAGAATGCTATCAGATTACACTGCTTTGAGCGAGATCTCAAAAAACACTCGAAGCGAAAGGTACGATATTCAGGATTGCCAGCCAAGAGCGATAGAGTGTACAACACTGCCCATTCACTGATTACTTCCACTTGATGGGACGTGTAAATAGTACGTCTGCGCTCCATGTAAAGGGACTTTTCACCAAAAGGGAATGGCTAAGACGAAAGGCTTTGTGCACTGACGGGGTTGCAAAGCCGAAACACGTGAATTGAGCAGTATAGTTGCCCAAACAGACCACATGCATGGCTCAAAACTGACTATCAGGCATAGAAATTTGAGCGTAGTCTTGAAAAAGCACTCGCAACGAACGGTGTCATAGGAAATTTGAACTTTTCCACTGAAAGATCCCTGTCTTGAGTAGCGATTTTGTGATGGTGTTCAGCAGCTGGTCCTACAAGAAGTCGGCGCCATGTATCTCTGATGACTCACGGTAAAGCGGAAATGAATACTATCAAAGGCTTTCTGTCAGAATTACGACTCCTAAACACACGAGTGACTTAGCAGGTTGTTCGATTGATTTCGATGCATGCATTTTCCGAGCTAATACTTTTCCGTATAGAAAACATCTATTTATTTTCAATGCCTTGCAAGACTTTTAGTCAATTCTGTTGTGCGGATCCATGTATTTCTAGCACTCGATTCGTTACCCCTCCATCATCGTTCCAAAGGACTTCTAATATTCGGCATGATGTTCCACTGTTTTTTGAGAATTTCGTCTTATTTTGTGAATGTCATTGAATGTTGATGGAGTTAAACCCTCCCCCCTCCTCGCATTCTTGAAGATAGTCGAGTTGAGGCCTTTCAACCTGACTGGAAGAGTGTTGAGGGAGGTGTTAAACTAGCTCCGTACTTTTTGGCGGCCTACATTATCAGGCTCCCGCTAAGTTTTCCAAAAGTTCCGTGCCATACTTGTATTCGACTGTTGACTAATTCACTAATGAATGGTTTGTCTAATATGAATAGCAAGCTATAATCACATTGAGTATTCATGAAAGGACCTTTTACTGGTTAAGTAACAAATGGCGAAATACAGTATAGTCTAGGGTCGTAGCCCGAAAACAAGTAGTCTGGTGTGCGGTAAGAAAAATGCAACTTTTGGAGCACTGTAGGCATGGTACAATACGTTGCCAAAGCTGCCAAGATATTAATAAAGATATAAAATGACTAGCCATATGCAAGATAATACTGACCAGTGTCCTTCCGTTTAGGTCCAAGTAATTCGTCAAGTGTTTGGTTGAAGTTAAGACTTCGAGTCCTAGTGCCTTGCATTCACGGTAAAATCTTCAAATCAGAACCGTTTCCTGAAAAAAGAGAAGCAAAAGAGCTCAAAGTCCCATGAAGTTTTTGAAAGCTAAATCCAGTCTTTCCTGAAATGACGAGATTACGAAGGCTAAGCCAAAAATGAAGTGCTCGAACGAAGTTTATAAGGATATCAAGATCTTAAACACGAAGTTGGCACGGATTTGTAGGCTTATTTTTGTATTTGTGTTTGTATTTCTGGTAGCACTTCAAAAAAAAAAGAGTTTATTGAAAAGCGCCCATATGATTTTTTGCTCAAAGTCATTGTTCAACATTCGCCACCTTTTAAAAAAATGTACAACAATAAGATTTTTTTCAATCAACACTTCAAGAGTGTTTTTGGAAAGCTTGTCTTTGGATTGAGTTTTGTGTCATGACTAATTTCGTTCATCTAGCGTTTTCCAGGAGCGCATAGGCGCAGTGATTAGACGTGCCCTGCGTCGCAAATGGCACCAGACTGGTCGTAGACTTGTCTAGCAGGTAGTACTGACTCGATATATCGGTAGGCCCACTCTAATCATCGTAAAGGCCAGTTATGCATTCAATCACGTTGAAACGAAGTTACAATTTGTAGACGTAAACGTGGCGCATTTCCCAGGGATTGGTCAACGCCGAGAGCTTTATCCTTTTTATCCTTTAATTTTTCCCATAATAGATGGAACGACACCGCGATACGTGACTAATGAATGAAATTGATATCCAATCCCTACAATTTCTTCTATCATCGCAAGTGTAGTTTAAGTCGTACATTACACTCGTGGATGTATGGACCTTTGCTAGTTTTCACAAAGTGTGCTTCTCGCAAAAATTTTATTGACATCTTATTTAGAAATGGAAGTTTTCTACTTTCGACCCCAATCTCAGTGGTGGCTCAATGTAAGTGCACGATGATCATGATATATAAAAATTGAGGTAAGATAGGTTGAGCAAGTTAGGAAGAATAAATTTTCAGGCAAGAGCACAAGCAGAATTTCGGAAGAAAACTTGAACGGCAATCAACTAACGGAACGTCCTGTGCGTATGCTATGTTGGTATAGAGAAGGTTACCACGGAAACGGTGAAGACGGATGCTTTCGATAGCGTCATCGAGGAGGTAATGAAAAGACAGCAACGACTTTATGGGATTAAACGATTTTGAAGGGTTCTCTTTGCAAGTTATATTTCGAATAATGCTTACGCAGATTATTGAGGAAAAACATTCTTTCGTTGACCAATCGTCCAGCTTGTACCATTCATTTGATCCCCTTCGTAGTGTCGTAAAGGTTATTGAATGCAGAGACTGGCCTAAGCAATCACTTGAGGAATCTAACGATGTTTCGATCCAGTGTTTTCATGCTTCCAAAAAAGTCTGCGACGGTTTTATGATGAACAAGATATGGAGGGCTTAGTGTGCCTGCGAATAGGATAGGAACAGTGATTGCGTAGGTATTATAAATATGTCGAATCACTGTGCCAGAGGGCCCCTGAACTGCAGGTATATAAATTTAAAGCACTGATCTCAAACATGACCATTAGCATTGTAAAAATTCGGCAATTCCTGTAGCTTGTAGCAATGTCATGCAAATGCAGTGAATTTCCAGAATAATTAGTAGACAAAAATCTGCTCACCTTCTTTGGTTTTAACCCTCTAGCGTTCATCAATCCTTCCTTTAATGTGCTGAATTTACCCAAGGATTTGGCTCACTTGAGAAGAGAAAAAATTTTGCTGTACTCAAGATTTTTGTTTTTACTGCTTCTTCGCGGTGTTATGATGTTTCGAATGCACCTAAGACAATTGAGTGGTGACAAAAAATCCGACCTCAGACGGCAATTGAACCCGTGTTCCACTCGTACTGGGGCCGCGTGCTACCACTACACCCACCGACGCACCGTTTCGCCAACACTCATTCTTAATGAATTCCCATTGTTCTATCGTATTTGTCATGCACTATCCATGCTGTCTTTAGTTAGATAATAGCAATTTGATAGTCAGAAAGCTCTGAGGCGTGATTAGAGCAAGATTAGCATCTTGCCGTAGTTGATGACATGCCTATTGACTGGAATTACCTTCGCGTTCATACTTCACTCTTATATGACTTTATGTATTCGGGTCAACGCATGGAATTCAATCCGGATTGTAGTCAAAAGCGCCCAACTACATATTATTACGTCTACCTAGGCTGCTTAGAAGTGAAGCGTAGTACACGTATTGTTAGTTCGATCCTGCGCCCTCGTTAAAGCGAACCGTACACCGCTCCAGAAAAGTTGAATTGATTTTAGACTTGAGTAGCGGGATAAAAAAACACTGACTTTTTATGTCTGTAAGCTATCGGAAGCAATTGCGTTGGCGTTGTGATCAGTTGCATCTACGACGCTCAATGGCGATGAATGATTAGCACATTTCTAATTGATTAGTAATTTCTTAACCATTACCTTTTATTAATCAAAGCATATGTGAAAGCTATGAGTCGGAGAGCTGTAAAACAAACAAGTTACTCCCTCTGAGTATATTTGTATCTCACAAGAGATCCATACTTGATTTTTGATTCGCTTTGTACATTTTTTCCGCCAACTAAACACAAATTTTTTCATGAATCAATACTGAGATATTCATCTGCTTGCAGAGTTTCTTACCTGCTCAAATATAAAATCAAGAGCCGAAAGACTTAACGATACCACTCTGCAGAAAAGTGGTCAAAACAAAACGTCTCCGTCGAGAGGATGTGCTATAGTTGTGGTTTGAAATGTCGTAGCCTAGGTGACTAAGGTTGACACATGGTACATTCGTTATCCTACCGTTGTTCTCTCGAGATCTCTATTAATTAACGATGCTATTGATAATAAAAAGGATTCTGGTTTACAATTGCGAAAATAAGTGATACTGAATATAGTAATAGGTTGGGGAAAAAGTTCTGAGAAAATGCTTGTAACTTTTTTGAGTGTTGGCCAATTTTTATGTTTTTGGTCCCTTTCAAAAGCCCGTCTTCTCCCGCGTTGATTGGTATTTAATCTATCTACTTATTTTGAGATGGATTTGATAAGCGACCCCCAAGCCAGATTGGTGCGTTCACTTGCCACTGTTCATTTGAATCCAACAGCCATTCGTCCATAATCAACAACCTAATTTGCTCGCTTGTTAGCGCGATCTTGAAATAAGCAGATAATTATATACCATTCAACGCGTGAGAAGATGGGGCTTTCAAATGAGCCCAAAAACTCAAAAAATGGTCGACACCTGAAAAAGCTACAAGCATTTTCTCAAAACTTTTTCCCCAACCTATTATTTGTATCACAACGACCACCATGTTCTTCTCTCTTTCTCTGTCTCTCTCCATCCCTCTCTCACCAGTACTTTATCCTCGAAAATTGTTTCATTATTTTTTTTGGCACTAAAAAGTCTCATGTGGCTTACTCTATCTGTTATTATTTAACACTCCGACAATAATGAGCTATTAATCGCGGACAGATACCTTACAAAGGGAGAAACGAGCAAACTGCGAACTTCGAAGATGCACTTTTTCATATATGAGTCTTCAATAGACCAGTTTCTTCCGATTGCAAATAAGTTTTGCATCTTTCAGGTCTCAGCATACAATTTCAACTGCTCTCTCGAATGTGACTCCTTTTTTGATAGTCCTCATTTTTGATGTATACAACTTATAATTATATAACTAATTTTATAATAATATAATTTTGATTTTCATTTTTTGCGAAAGCTCACAAGCGTTATGAGATATTGCGACGATTTCTGTCATCATTTTTAGGTCCAGTGTTCGTCCCTACTAGAATGCCGAAAAAATGCCTCATCCTGTAGCTCTTGTATAGTAAGGAAACTAGGAGGATGTTGGCGTTTCGATGGTAAATGTTTATGTCTCGGTGGAAAAGTCAGTTTTTTTTGATTGATATGCTTATTTGTTGGCGTTTAACATAGGGAAATCGTTAAATTTAGAGAAAGATCAATTTTCATAGATGTCAATCCAACTATTGTTGACACTAACACCAATAGGTAAGACAGCTAGATGTTACAAGGTTGAAGGGAAAATTCTTTAACACCTGCAATAAATTCAAATTTTATCCTTATTTCACACAGTAGCGTTTATTGTAGATTTATGGAAATATCTCGGCAATTTCCATGTTATAGCAGATGAGCCGAATCTAAATTCGTTGAAGAAACGGTACCCGACATTGTTTCGTCGAAAGCGCGTACTGTTTTAGCAAGAAAATAGCAAACCTCACACAGCAACAAAGACTAGAGAAAGTTCGGTGAATGGAAGGAGTCGAGGTCTTGTTTTTCCTCGGCCTAAAGTCCAGATGCTATGCCGTCCGATTATGTTCTTTTGCGTTCAGTGGAACATTTCTTTCAATGAACGCCGATTCGAGAGATTTGATAAGTCGAAGAGGCATGTTAAGAGTTTTATGTATCAAAGACCAAGGAAAAAAAATTTTGGGCAGGTTCGGAAGCGTGCAGATCGTTGGCAAAAGATCTTGGATAATGATGATCTCTATATTGAAAGATACTTTTTGATGATTCTGACCGAAGTTATGCAGTAGCTTTGAATTTTCAGCGAATATTAGGGACCTTTTCCTCAAGCTAACCTAATAGTACCTTCCTTGTTAGTATTGAAATGTTTTGTGAGTATCGAGCTTCGTCCGCACTCAGCTGATGTCTCGTTGTTGGATTTCTTTATGAATTCGATGGCTCGGTCTGAGTATTCATCTTAATGGTCGGCCGTGAATGAGGAGTGTACTGGTTCTTTCGTTGTAACCAGAACATTGCCCCACTCGGCGCTTTCATCGCGGTGTCTTTCAATGGCCCGACGGCTGCTCGTCTCCCTTATGAGGATGCGAAACGAGTTAACATGTGATCGAGCTGGTCTCTTATTAGTCTCAAGAAGATGAGAGAGTCACTATAGCTTCGATGTCCGCTTTCAAACGAGTATGCTGCTGTTCAGATCCGTGTAGATTCTTCTTGCCTTGGTACGAAAACATCGAAGCGTTGAAAAAAAAACGAATGTTATTCCGTAATTGATGTAGTCATCTTAACAGTTTGAATTCTGTGATTAATACTGAGTAGAATATAAAATTTCATATGGCCGGTGGAGCTAGATTTCCGCAGAACTCGAGTATTTCATCAACAAGGAGTGAGGGGATAGAGGAATGTTTGTGCGACAGACTAACAGTTGTAAGGTGCTGGTTTGACTCTTTCCAGCAACACTCTTATACAATCCATGTAAGAACAGCGTAGCTTGCCATGTCCAAGATTCCAAGGAGAGTCGTCTCGGCCAACACTGCGACATCTCTGACAAAGACAATTCCCTCAAAGAGCGGATGAGAGAATTTGTGAAATTTTCGAATTTGAGGTGACTGCGAGGATCCGAATTGAATGCTAGAGGTGCTGGAATTCGCGCGGTAAAATGTGGTGATATGAAATAGAAAATCCAGCAGGAAACGCTTCATGTCACTATCAAGAGATTCGAAGATATTTCAGTCCAACTCAATAATGATTCAGTGTCAGTAGAGCCAGTAGCTATCACTTTAACTCTAGTGAACTGGTTCACCTACTATGCTAAGCTTTGAAAAAAATCTTTTTTATTTGACCGCTCCTAGCGGTGGTATGACTCTATAGTATACCTAATGATAAAGAATGATGTGCAGAACATTTGCATCAGGCAAGACTTGAACCCGCATTTCACCAAATCCTAGGAGTGTGGTCTATCACTTGCACCACCGATTCCTGTTTTGGCACCACTCTTTCTACGCTACAACGCATCTATCTGTCAGCAACAAACGTCCACAGTATGGCTCGGGTAGTCGCTATCGACATGGAACCCATTCACGCTGAAACATGTTGATATGAGATGATCAAACCGAAATCTCTTCCGCCTCTCGACTGGGTAAAATGCGAGTTTACATCCCGCCTGACGCAAATGTTTTGCACATCACTCTAACTCATTGGGTTTACTGAGCTTCACTGATTGAATATTCATCGACTTTCTTTCTGAATACAGAAATTTCATTGGGAAAATCGGGCAAAAAGCTGTTCTGTCCTGGGTGGTGGTAATGTTGATTGAATGAGAAATAAGTCAAAAGCGTCGACATATGATAAAATTTTTCTTTAGTTCATAAGCAAGCGTCAAGTTAAAAGCGACTTATGGCAATGTGTATATCATGATGTTCTCATAATTAGGATGAGACATATAGCGTCATATGTCTAACATAGCCATGTTCACATTTTTGTGTGATTATCCGATCGTCAGTTGCCTTTTAAAATACTGTGAATGATTTATTTTATACCTGAGTCAAAAGCTACATTTTATGCCTTCGATGATATTACTTGTTTCAAATGTTATAGCTCAAATTTTCTCATTATGATGTAGTCTAGCAATTGCTTATCTCCTCGATCCCTGACATAGCCGTACTAAAACGTTTTTGGGATTTCACTATAGTTCAAAGCCGCTCTAGCGGATTAAAGAACGAAAATAGTCTTGCTCATAGGCTTCATCAAGTACAACAGCAAGGTACCAAGTGAATCATGCATGAGAACGACTGATTGCTTCCCAACGTAAGTGATTATTATAAAGTGAGCTAGCTGTGCTTCGCGCACTGAAGCCCATGAACATCCCTTCGCATTCATAAGTCTGTTTTCCAATGAGTTTTTGCAATCATAAAAGCTAAATTTTAATCATAAAAATGTTTTTAATGGCCGATTTATAAGAAACGTAGACGTGTTTTATGTTCTTCTTTATCCGATTTTAAACCCGATCTGTCACATCATATCGTTCACCTTCCGTTGGAGTTTCAGCGGAATGCAGGATAAATTCCTCTCATCCGCAAGTGCTGGTGACTATATTCAGTGAAAATTTAGGAATACGTTTACACGACTATCTT